CCAAGGTCATCCTTTGTCTCTCTGCACCTCTGCACCTGACTGGAACTGGATGGGTGGAAGCTGCCAGCATAGCAGTGGGAGACTTGACCATGGGATGGACTTGTGGGTATGGGGGCAAGATCTTGAGCTTTCAACTGGGTGGGGGAAACCGGGAAGCTTTCAGATTCGGGTTTTCCCAGATGTGCCAACATGGCTCTCTTCATAAATTGGAACTTTGAGCAATACTTTGCCTCGGATTCTGATTTAATTTTGGATGCTATTTGGAACCCTGACAATACCTTTATTAGATACCTGCATTAAATATCTTCACTAGATATAGTTATAAGGAGTACCAAGTAAAGCTTCCATCACGCATCATCTCAGCCAGGGGTAGAATCCAGCAGGTTCTGACAGGTTCTGGAGAACCAGTATGGAAATTTTGAGGAGTTCGGAGAACTAGCAAATGCCACCTCCAGAGTAGGGAGGGAATGGGGATTTTGCAGCATCCTTCCCCTGCCACGCCCACCAAGCCACGCCCACAGAACCAGTAGTAAAAAAATTGAATTTCACCACTGATCTCAGCCCAACGTTTCCTCCTCTGCCTTGTTTTACATTTTAAAAACCCCTAAAATGTTCCCTCCGTCTTGCGTATTTACACCTTGTATTACCTTCCTCCCGAGGTTTCTGGGGGCCCACGTCATTCTGTGCATCTGTGAGAGAGATAAATGAGAGCATCGTTCAGGCCACGTTTGGCTTATCGACTGCCTACTTTGAGAGGCCTAATACTGTAGAGGGACTCGAAGCCCCATCCTGGGAACTCTGCAACAACCTGGTGGCTTCACCCGAGGATGCCAAATTTGGGCCTGGAAACACACAGACACATTTATTGGGTTGGTGATGACCAATTTCCAAGTATGGTTTCACCTGGAGACCAGAACCTTACGAGGCCAAGTATCATGTAGGCTTATGGTTTGGATTGGTTCCCCCACCACCACCCTCTCTCTCTCTCTCATCAATCCTAAATTGAGGCTCAGCTTCCTTTCGGATAAAGAGGTTAACCCACAGCTCTACTACATCCTGGAAGTAATTGCAGTGGCATTAAATGCCTTCCCATTTTTCTTAAGTGCAGAAAAGTTGAGAAATGACCTATGGAATCCTTTGAAGAAATTGAAGAAATCCATATTCCAACTACTAAATCCATCCTCCTTTTGAGCTTCACCCTGATGAGGCATCCAAATGATCGGATCTTTAAATTCATGCTCCTTCAGTTCCTTGACTTTGGAGGCGAATGAAATGTAAATACATAGATAACTTTTTCTCCTTTTTAGCAAACTGCAAAGTCCAAGAGGCGCCCAGCCGCCTTGCGCCTCTGTCCTGCCCAGGGAGGGAGCTGCTGCAACACCTGGGAACGGCTCACCGATTTGATAGGCGCTGCAGATGGTCCCCTGGGAAGTGGGCGCCAGGAGCCTGGCCAGATCATCCAAGAGGGATTCTTCTTTCGTGGAAGAGTCGCCATCTTCCCTGAAGAAGTCCGTGCACGGAAGTCTGAGAAAGGGGGAAACGGGGCAATTTTAGGACTTTTACGGCTTCCCAGGGCAAGTCCTCCTTACCAGAAGATGAGGGAGGGAGGGATCAAGGAAGCCATCAGAAAAGTAGGGCGGGGGAAAGGGAGGAGATCAAAGCGTCAATATTTTTAAGGAAATTCTGCTGAGCCGTCACAAGGTGGTTGCCTTGCCCCCCTTGATGCAGGGAAGGGGACCCCAATGGTGGCCAGGAGATCTGCTTCCCTGTCACCAGCACAGGTGGTCAGGAAGAACCTTCCCTGCCTCGCCTGGCGGGACACCTGGCAAGCGCCACTGACTCGGAGGGTACTTACTCTGTGGCGATGGCCAGGAAGCCCTCGGGCTCCACACAGCGGCTCTGCACAAAGCCAACCCGGCCTGAAGAGAGACGCCTCCCCACAAACCACGGCATGCAGCTCACGAAGTAGCCAATGATCTCAATCTCATCTCCTTTTTGGAAACTGATCTCGTCTGGCACAGAGCTCTCGTGGCTGACGACGGCGACAGATAATCCTGTGGCTGGACGATGTGGAAGACATCAAATAAGCCCACAACATGTCAGTGAGGTTGATGTTGATGTTACAAGTTTCACAGAGAGTAACACTAGAAATAAGGGGTCATTAAACCCACCCATCTCCCCCCCCCTCTCTCTCTCTCTTATTCACCCATCAGAGCCAATTTTTTAAACAGAATTTCCCCGCAAACAGCTCCAGCGGGAGAGGGGATAAGAGGGTTTGAAGGAGGAGGAGGAGGAGGAGGCCAAGGGAATCCCACCACAGTGCCAGGAGGCTGAGTAAAAGGGCAGCATTTACATGTTACGTTGATGGGACTCTTTAAGTCATGGACGCAGAAATTGAAAACCCAATTTTAATCTTTGCTCCTTACCCGCTTGGTCTGTGACTGGAAGCGCAGTTATGCCGGCCAACCCATCAGACGCGGCATTTGCTTTCAGAAACCACCTGAAAATTCCAGAAAGTAACATTCAACCAACCATAAACGGCATCCCTGTAACGCGCTGAAGGTAGGCTCAACCCCCCTGGAGCCCTTGCTCAGGCAGAGGGAAGCCCTGCAAAGGAACTCGGGCACCTACTGATGGAAAGGCACCGGGGGCTCCAAGCCATCGGGGGGGTGGCCGTCCGGGACTTGCTCTGGAGCTGCCGATTCCACCTGGCAAATGGCTCTGGGATTCCTCGCGTCAATGTTCTCGGGAGAAAACCCCGAATAGGCACCTGAAGGGGGGAAGGCACCACATGGAACAAGGGGCGCATCCTGCAGTTGTGGATGCGGTTGTTGTCCATCAAAGAGGAACATTGTACTGATGTGATTGTCCAAAAACCAGGTTGCCTTGAGCAGGCAGACAGGCAGAGAGAGAGAGAGAGACCCGTGGAAGTGTCATCCCAGCCAGAGCAGAGGCACCTCAGCCTCCAAACCCAACTCCCTTCCCACCAACAGAACCTCTTATTTTGCCTTTGTCAGGCGCCATCTTTTCCTCAGGCGGTTTCTCTGAAGTGAGGCCCAAAGTTTCTCCTCGCCTCCCCTTCGGTTCAGCAGAGGCCAAATGCTCTTTCGCAAGCGCAGGTGAAGCCCCAGGTACCTTCTTCCATCAAGAGTCCCCTGTAGAGCCGGTGGAGGCAGGTCTCGTCCAAGAGGGCCTCGATTCCAGCAGCTTCTTCTGGCGAGGAGAGCCACAGGGAGTCATCCAGCAAGAGGGTCTCCAGGCAGGGACCTAAAAAACCTGCCAAAAGCAGTTTTCACATTATCCCACACGGCCTGTTCCTTAAAAGTCATCAGCGTTCGTTTGACACCATACCTTTTTCCTAGCTTTTGACCAGCTCCCCAAAACTCTCTGACCTCCAGAGTTTTTCTACCCCGTAATCCACGCCAGGCTGAAGAAGAAAGGGAGGGGCAGGGCAGAGGGGCAGGACTGCCTTACGGGGCAAAAAGGATCCTTCGGTCTCCAGTGCAGATTTCAGAGGGAAACTTCCTTGTTTTGACAACGGTTGCAATTTCTGACCATTGACCACTTCAACCTGAATGCCGTAAAACCTCAGGGAGTTCCAGAGGGCCTCTGTCCCTAAAACAGGGATGGCCAACCTTTTCAGCACCGAGTGACCAAAACGGAACGGGTGTGCTGGCTGCTCTGCGTATGCCTGGTTTTGGGCTTTTTTTTCTCTTTTTTGCTGTTGTTTTCAGGCCTTTTTTCTGCTGTTTTTGGACCAAAAACAGTCCAACAAACAGCCAGAAAACCAGCCTGGAAATTGCCTGGGAAACGGCCTGGTTTGGGGCCGTTTTTCCAGCCATTTTCCGGCGCTCTGGCACCCGCAAAGACCAGCTGGCCTGTGCACATGTGTGTGCCAAAAACTATAAGAGCAGCTTGATTTGATTTTTTTTTTTTGATTTTATTTAGCATTTATAGGCCGCCCTTTTCCCTGAGGGGACTCAGGGCGG